CCGAAGGCTTTCACCAGCCTGCGTCATTTCACTTCCCCGATTCCAGCGAAAAGTAAGGCTATTGCTTATGTTTTTAGAATTTTTAATATATTTATTCGTTGAAGTTTCTGTAGCGATTTGGTTGTTTTACAGGGGTGGAGTTGCCACGCCCCAACCCTCCCTCTTTACCCGGGCTTGGGACCGGCGAGAAAACTAGTAAGCTAGTAGCCTAGCAAGCTAGTACCTGGCGAGGTTATCTACTTGTATAAGCTATAATAATGTACAGGAAATATATATAAATACGTATTGATTTTCGTAATAAAACGATCTGTTGCCTGGCCCTTGTCTTCTGTTGTTACATATATCCATTGAACTGAAGCTTCATGTAGAGTAGTTTTTTTCGGGACGCTATGAATGGGCGGCTTTTGTGGTCTAGGATTCATAGATTTTGCAATAAATCTTTCTGGATAACAATTCTCGACGAGGATTCTCTTTAGATTGTCCAGTTCATCTTCTATGGTGTCCGGGGTTACAAATTCTGCGAACTCTGTAGCTGAGTGAACGGATCAGGTTTCGTTTGGTGTATAAAGGTACCCAACTGTGAAAGTTAATAAGCTGTCCGTTCCATTTTAACTTTCTGTAGATAGATTTTTTCAGTGTTCCATCCTTTTCTGGTCTTGTTAGTTGGACGTCAAGAAAGGATATTTTGGAGTTGGACTCTTTCTCCAGCATAAACTGAATCGCGGGGTGGCAGTTGTTCAACGACTTCAGGATGCCGTCTAGATTTTCGTCATTGTTGACGATATTATTATTATTTCCAGATATGAAAAAATAACTGATACATAAAACGTCAGACACACAAGACTTTATGTTGACCTCAGTCTTTATGATTTATAATTACGCGGAAAAGTCTATGAATGTCAGCTGCTGATGATATTCTGCAAACAAGAAAAGCGGGTCAGAGCTTGGAAGTTATATCAGACTGTTATTTTCTCCTAAAAATGATCACCTCATGTGAAGTGATTCAATTTGAAAATAATACCAAATTAGAGGCCAGTAAATAAACAATACTGAAAACACTGTTGTAATTCTGTCGACCTAGTAACCTAGTTCATTTCATTGATTGCCATATATATATATATATATATATATAAGAAAGTAAGTTGTTGTCCATCATACAAAATGCTCACAAGCCGAGAAAGCAAGAGAAAACAGTCGGAGAAACTGCTTAACAAGACAATCAGCATAATTTCTTTCTGCATTAGCGACTGACGAATTTCTTATAATTTGGTGCAAAAGGACTCGAAATACTAAAAAACAGTTATTGTTCCAAGCATTCTTCGATTTATGCAGTTGTCGTATGAAGAACGTTTGTGCGCAGATGATTTGTTGGCAGACAATAAATGGTGAGAAATGTTTAGTTGACAGAATTTCTCCATCCATTCATAAAAATAATCTGTTTTAGTTAAAAACAATTGAAGATGCTATTCTGATTGCATTAATTGTGGAGAGCAGACTAAAAGAAAGACTACAATTGGTGGATGGTGGCTACCAGTGGAATCCAGGATACGCATTTCGTCCTTTTTGGGACTCGTCATCTGGATGTGCCTGCATTTCTCAGACGACTTGGGCCACGAGAGCCACCTCTTGTGCAACTGGTCATATTAATCATAAAAGGTAGACTGTTTGAATTGTCTATTGAAATTCCACTTGCGAAGTGTGTTCTGCAGCATATCATTAGAGATCAACTTTTACTGTTGGGTCTGTTAAAAATCGATTTTTATAGAATACAAAATTATCAATACCTACACAGACATGATCAAATCAAAACACGCAGAGATACTGGGAGGAAATCTTCATGGAAATGGCCTGTCATGTACATGGATAATTAATAGAGCTGTAGAAGAACACAGTTTCATCCAAGGTCATAAGACTGACATCGAAATGCTTCCTGGCTTACACTCTGTTGAGTGAGAATAGAATTTTCATCACTTAATATTTCTCCATTTTCGTTCAACTTACAATTCAGGCGTATAGTTCTAATACTCATAGCTATTCATCATGCGTAGATGTTTGAGTCTCTTCAACTTATTGCCTTATTGTGGAAATCATAACATGTTTCGCACACCGGGATTCAGAAAAAATCGTTACAAGTGTATAGGGCATTTTTGAGAATGACAACAATAAGTTTGTGAGTGTATATAAATTCCTCTTAAGATTGAAAATGAGTATGCTTTAGCTCCATATAAATTGTTATTATTTGTTTCTCGGCTTCCCAGTGAAACATAAGGTTTTGGAAGTGCATCTCCATTGTATTCTGCTTTTCATCATCTTTTTAATCAACCTCTATGACTTCATTATAATAAAGGTTTTTTGGTATTTCCCAATGAATGAAAAACAAAACGATATTGTTTTACTGACGTTTCGCTATTTAATGCTAATAGCTTTCTCAAAGTAATAGCCTCTATGACTGTCTATAAGCTTCTATTTACTTCTTGTATGATAACTTCACTATCATTCCCTGCCATTCATTCTCATTCGATTGTCACTCGAAGGTTCACCTGACTTATGATGTCAATCGACAATCTTTTCAGCGTATGGTCACTCTGTCTCCTTTTACTTCTATATATTTGTTGAACAATAAGCTGCTGGCTGGATCACTGCCAGACTTCGTTATTGCTTGCATTTTCCGGCTGACTATCTGATCTTCAGTGCTGAATAAAGGCAGTGGTCGATAAAGGTAGGCTAGAAAGCCTGTCAGAAATGATTTCGGTGATGTATTATGTTTCTGAAGCATATTGAATCAGTGACTTGAAATTAATCCTTCAATTTTCTAGGCTATTCCTTATACTGATTTCCACATGGATTTCAGAGTAATGAACGCCTATATTACCTTTCAGATCTTGCCTGACTTTAATATCTTGATGGCACCAAGTTTAGCTTTAATCAAATGAAGTTCAGAAATTTCTAAAGTTATTTACTGTCTCCATTGCTGTCAGTATCTGAGTTAAATCCATAGTAATTTTATAGAATACTTAAGGGAGTTTCGTTATTGTTCTGTCCACCTGTTTGCTTGCTTTTCTTTCATCTTCTTTTTTTGTCTGTTTCAAAAAGAAGCGGAATCATAAAAATCTTTCTTTTCCCCCCTGAACCATCCCCCAGTAGTGATCAAATGCTTTTGGCCAACAAATCAAATTTTTTTCATGGCTTTTTTCACTCAGTTACTGATTTTGTTTTGAAATTCTAAATTTTTTTATGACCAATATTTCTTAGACTTTTATGTAATTCAGAATGAGGAGAGACAGTAGTGGTTCATAGTCTTCCTCTTTAAATGCAACAATTTCCGTTGTCCAAAATCTTATCATTCGAGAATACATCTTTAGATTTCTACCGGAGAACTTGCCTTTGTGAGACTGATTCTAGTCTTGAAATCAATATGCGACTATGTATTACAGACAAGTTGATAATATTCAAGTATTGGTTTGTAGGGATTTGGTTGATTGGTTACAGGATTTCATCATGAGCTGACATTGGTGAGAGAACCATTGGAGAACCTGCAGGGAGTACTCAACAGCTTAGTTTGGGACACTTCATCAGTACGCACCCATCAGGGTTCGAACCCAAGACTTTCTGGTTACAAGGCGAGCTCGTATACCATTAAGCCGCTGAGCCACTGAATCAGGTCCGAGTATGCCTAGAATTGAATTCGACCTGAAATATTAAATACATCCTTATGATTGACCGGACTAAAACAATCGACCAGTCTCAGTATGATGCTCTCTTATCGGAATTCTTCTATATTTGGAATGTGAGCAGTCTCGTCATTAACAATAACAGTTATAATAATTTGCTCGAATTGCTGTATGAGCAAATGTTTGTATCAACGTTTATCAAAGTAGACGTATCACTCGTGCTGGATGGCACCAGTAAATACTCTCTGAATGTGAACTGCTTTTAAAAAGGTGTTTACCCAATTCCTGAGTATAGTGATGATTTCGTAAAGGAGGAAAATAACACCTGTTAACCTTAATTTCATTTTAATTCAAGGCAGCCTTAATGGTTTATCAGGAGTTCCAATAAAAGTTATATTTCCATTGTAAATGGCTCTACGGTGCTTATTTCATATAGCTGAGTCTTATTGGTTTGACTATTGTTGACCGTCCGAGCCACCAATAGACTTATAGATGATCAAACGTTATTCTCTTAATCGTGGGGAATCAGGATAGAGATTTAGTCGGTGTATTCTTAAATTATTCTGTCAAAAAATAACTTTCCATATCACCCCCGTTATTCAACTATGCATTCTGATAATTAACGCCGGTAAAGTAATTTTAAGTGCGTAATTAACTTATCAGAAGGAATATACTGAAAATATTTTTTTCCCGTCCAACTATCAAGTACAGACGTACTCTGAGTGTTTTTAGCTTAATTTCGTGACCAACTACAGCTAGAATTTTCGTGTTCTGCTTTTCTCTCTGAAAGCGATTATATTGACAATCATTAAGCACAACGAATCATATGTCTTTGTTTTGTGGCCATAAAGTAAATTGTAAATATGCTGTGGAATATCAAATTACACATTTTAAACAAATTTGGTTTCCAAACAAAACTGTTGTGAGAGATTTCACTTCTTCGAGTTGTGTTAATTGTAAATTGGGAATTCAATACATACTTTAAATACTCTATGTATTTTTTTTAATAAGCGCAGTGAAAACCAGTAATCTATCCTGGATTAACAGCTGTATATTATACTTCGTACAATTTTTGAGGCGAGATGAATTCAGTTGTGTAGCGTTACAGCTAAGATTGTGACTGTTCAGTAAATATGGTTAGTTGTATATACTCTCTGCACTTTAGGGAACTTACTTGCTTTGCACAGTCTGAAATCTCATGACTATGGTGTCATCTGATTGTAACTATAAACAGTGTGCAAAACAGGACTCACAGTGGTGGTTTTTTTTCTATATCACATGACTTTTCACTTTTGATCCACTGTATCGTTTTGATTTTTTCTTCATCAGATCTAATGAAAACAGTCAAAAAGTATACAGTCAAGTGTTCGCTGTCAAAGAAATTCCACTTAATGCTGACTTGACAACCAGTTCTTCAGTGAGACCAATAAAGCACCAGACAATGAATTCCGATGATATACGAACATGTTTGACAGGATTAAGTGAATCTATTGACTGGTTCATTCATGAATCTTATCTGGTACCTATAAATGTAGTTGAGTGTATTGAAAGTGGGACGACAGTAGATTACTATATGGATCATCGCTTCTGGTGCATATTATCACGCAGTAGTTCGCCTGTGGACAATGATGGATCAAATGAGAATATAATTGAAGTTAACGCTAATTTTGTGCAAATAAAGCTTCGGGAACTGGATGTAGGTTATCACAATTGGTTTTTATCCTACCACTCTGCTTTTACTTTCGAGTAACATTTTGCATAGTCTATAAGTGTTAGGTGTTTTCAACCATTAAGCCACAGCATTTGTAATGGAAGTTATCATATTGACTAGGGTTGCTTTATTAGGGACAAGACAGATTGTTTGACCCATTTTGTACCAGAATACTTTTGCAGACGGACTAATCATTGGATATTACACTGAAGTGATAAACATTGTGTAACCGAAGGAATAGGTGTAATACTCATTTATTCATTTCGTTGTTTATTTGCAGTTTATTTCTTCTCAAATATACAATCTTAAACTACAGAGTAAGTATGAAGCATATCGACCAGGTAAACAGTAAAACAGTCTCCATCTAACATTCCTTTAGTGTGTCATTACTGAGTCTTTTGAAATTATCATTAATAAGGGAGGATAACCCAATAGTTTCGAAAGGATTTAAACAGCTGAAACCGATTTTAATTCAGACTGTAAGTTAAACAATGCAACAATAGGAATATTTGTTAAATAGATTTATAAACTTTTACCTTGTTACCCAGATTCACCTTTTCACATGATAATGTAAGAAGTACCTCACCGATAAGACCCTAGCAAGACTACTTAGACATTTTCGCTTTCAAGGGCAGATGAAACTGATAATAAGCGAAAATAAAAAATATGCAAGATTTAATTTATTCCTTTTTTTATTATTAACAATTACAAATTTGAAAAGAACTAAGTATGATTTACACAGAAGTATAAGTTGAAATGGTAGCTAGGTGGTGCCGTGTAATAACAACTGTAAAGTGTGTACCAATATGGGGTGTTGTACTCAACAAAGCTGAATACTCAATCTTGTTGACGATGCTCAATCACTTGATGAGTTAACTAACTTAGCCAACTTTTTTTTCCTTCTTTCAATCTTTACAGAATATTGAATCAAAATCACTGGAATGGAAGAATTGTATGAATGTGTTTTGTGATAAGGCTAAATCACTACTCAAAACAGGTTACGATAGTAGCAGCAGTAGCAGTAGTAATACAAGAGCAGAATTATTGTTAAATCAAAGTGTCGATTTGAATAGATTAGAAGACACGTGTTCTAAAGCAGAAAATGTTTTAAGTTTAGCCTTTATGTCGCTACGCAGATACAGAGAAATTCTGCATACCTTTAAGACAAATCTAGCTAAATTTGAAGGATGTCTACGACAAATTGAATTGATCAAAAACTCTGTTGACGATCCAGATCAAACTGTTCAAGATTTAAGTGTAGGCGAATGGTTGAAAAGTCTGTGCCAACAAACTATTCCACACAAATCGAAACGTGATGGACTTGCAACAGTAAGTATATATGTGATCTTTGTTTCAAAAGATTTTAAACATTTTGTTTTTTGATGTCATGTTTTTAGTAAATAATGGTGGTTTAATAGTGATAAAGAAAGAAAATTTCTGATGTTAAGAGGGAATAAAAAATACTGGAACGATTTCTTTAGAAGTATTGTTTCTGTACTTAGATGTAAATCTCGACCTGTTTAGGAATGAAATCGCTTCAGTTACATACTTGGTCATTCACTTTCAAAACTTAAAAATGTTAGTGAGTTTACGTAATGTAGAATAAACGACATGAAATGGAATGTTTAAATAGATAGTATTCTGTTGCTAATGCAGTATTGAACTGTGGGAATATGTGAGAATAATATTCCGTTGGTATACATTGTCTGGATCACACCACAACAACAAATTTATTTGTCAAGTCAATTTATATTAAAAATAAAGGCCAATTAAAGTGCAAAAAGTGACAAAAAGGACTTAAGAATAATAAGAGTTTTTAAATATTCCTGTTATTAGTATTTGAACAAGACATAAAAGCAAGCCATATTGTTTTTAATTAGATCTTCTTCAGGCTTTATTCTAATTTACATAGATTTATTTATAAAAATTAACAACCCAACGGATCTAGACAGAAAGATTGAAAAGCAGCTAACTAACACGTTTTAGTAGTGTAGTAATCTCAGAGGCAGCCTACAACCGTCTTAAACCAACTGGAAGTAATGCTTCACGATTGTATGGTCTGCCCAAAGTACATAAACCAGAAATTACTTTTCGCCCGGTCCTAGATATGTCTAATTTCACCTACCGTGGAGTGGCAAAGTAGCTAAGTGAGTTCCTCCAACCGTTACACCAGAATCTGGTAAATTACAGTGTAAAAGACATTTTTGAATTCATTTCTAACGTACATGATATGAATGTAAATGGGAAGCAAATGCTATTCTCAGATGTCGCATCATTGTTCATTAATGTACGATTTATGGAGACTGTTGAACTCATATGCCAAGAGATACTAGAAAAACAGTTTGACATTGGAATTCCAGTTATTAGTCTGAAAGAGTTGCTTTTAAGATGTATCATGAATGTACACTTCACATTCAACAACCTTTATTACAGACAGTTTGACGGTATTGCTATGTGTTCTCCATTGATTCCACTTTCGGCAGATTTCTTCCTTGCTAAGCTTGAAAATGGTCCATTGAAACAAGTAATAGATGGAACATTATGTCGATGATATGTTTATAATTCGTGATGAGAAAGCTGAAAAGAATGTAGTGTTAATAAAATTCAGTGATGCATATCCATCACTCGTCTTCACTTAAGAAGAAGAACATGATGGTGGACTACATACACTTCCTTGATGTCCAATTGAACAGAAGAGAGGATGGTTCATTCAAGAGAGATGTCTAGAGAAAACCTACATCCGTAGGACAATATACACATTTCCTCAGTTTTGTACCAGTTCGATACTAAATCAGTTTGGTCAGAGACCTCACGGAGCAAGACGGATCTGTACAGATGACTTGCTAGAAAATGAGTGAGGATGAATTCAAAATACGCTGGTCCGAATGGGTTACCCTAGTAGATTTGTAAGGAGACACATGAACACCAGGTATAATAAAGAGAAACCGACAACAGTTAAAAAGAAACAACTCTTCCAAAAATTGCAATGTAGTGGGGACGTGGCTAGTGACATCTTACATCTAAGATTATCCAGAGCAGTAGAACGGATTTATACTGCCACCACCCTTTATTTGTCATTTTCCAGCCGACCAATTATGATTAAGTCAAGTTACCTAGCTGTGCCGCTTCTAAAAATTTAGTTGCTACTATGGAGAGAGCTGTATATGGCGAACAACTAGAGAGCACAACAAACGCATTAATGAGCGTCTTCTTTCATGGTTCGGAAAAGGCCAGATAAAATCTATAAGAAGTTCCATTTTGACTCATTTGATTAATAGTGGTCACCAAGCGCACAGAAGTAGTGCCTTCAAAGTTATCTATCGCATTCCATCGAGTCTTTCGAACGGAATTCGAACCCGCCTTTTACACATGGGAATTAGAGAGGACAATCCCAGTCTTTGCATACAAAAGAAGTTTGTCCTACCTTTTTCTCTTCCTTGGCCTAGGTGAATTATAATCAAAACCCACCCAACCTTTCTAATTTTATATTTCCTTCGTACTTTTATGATGTCTATTTAAACTCTGAATATCTACCTATCCACTTCACCTTAAGCATTACCTAACTTTCAAGATTTGGCCTGATTGAATTGTGTACATATACAGATATTAGTACCTTTGTTATTCTTGTCGCCACATGCATAAACCGTATTATCATTATTTCGTTATCATTACCATCATCGTTATCAATGACGTTCAAAACATTTACCCCTTTGTTATCATTATTTATCAAGTATTGGTTTTTGTAGGGATTGTGTTTGATTGGTTGGAGGGTTTCATCATAAGCTGATAGCAGTTAAGAAACCATTGGAAAACCAGTCAGAGAGTTTTCGATGTGGTTTTGTTCTCTGAGCTGGATGGTTAATTTGCGAAGCTTTCATCTTCATACTTCAATTTGAAGTATGCGCTGAAGATGTCACCCAGTAGGGTGATGAAAGCTTCGCAAATTAACCATCCACCTCAGAGAACAAAACCACATCAAAATCATCCATCTGAGCTACAGTCAGAGAGTACTGGACAGCTGTTTCGCCCTAGTTTGGGACTCTTCAGGAGTATGCACCCACCGGGGTTCAAACCCAGGATCATATGGTTACAAGGCGAACGCGTAGACCATTATAATTATTACCATTATTAATTGATCCACAAAATCGCCGTCATTGGTTGAAATTTTTATATATAAATCTATGTAAATTAGAGTAATGACTGAAGATCTAATTGAAAATATTGTTCGCCTATATGTTTTGTTCTAATAACAATAATTATTATCACCACATTTGGTTATCCAATAAGATAAGGATTACGAAGGTGAATAAGGAGTTATAATAGATTATTTTTGTACACAAAGGAGGTTGTAGCTTAAGTATACGACTAGTCATCACCTCAGCCTATCACAATACGTGCCCTAGACTATTTAAAAAAATAACCTTAAAAACTGTTTTGACATCCGTCTTGTGAGTCATAACGATTGGATGTTTCAATATGCACATAGTTGGTAGTCGGCCACCTGTGTCTATTGATTTTCTATAAGATAAGAATTACTAAGGTGGGTAAGGAGTAATAATAAATTGTTTTTGAACACGCAGATGAACTTTTGAAAATTAATACACGCAGGTGGCAGACTACGAACTTCGTGCATATTAAAATATCTAATCGATATGAGTCACAAGACGGAGGTTAAAATAGCTTTTAAGGTTTCAATATAAATTACTTAAATTAATCCCAGCGTGTTTAAGAAAAAACCAAAACAAGATTTAATTCAATTTTAGGTCTAAAATTGAATTAGACCTCCGTCTTCAGACTCATATTGATTAGATATTTTAATATGCACGGAGTTCGTAGTCTGCCACCTGCGTCTGTTAATTTTCAAAAGTTCATCTGCGTGTTCAAAAACAATTTATTATTACTCCTTACCCACCTTAGTAATCCTTATCTTATAGAAAATCAATAGACACAGGTGGCCGACTACCAACTATGTGCATATTAAAACATCTAATCGTTATGACTCACAAGACGGAGGTCTAATTCAGTTTTCTATCTAAAGTTGAATTAAATAATTAATATGACCCGTTGCACAAGAGGTGGCTCTCGTGGCCCAAGTAGTTTAGTGGATGATGTCTTGGCGTTTGAAACTATGGGTACTGGGTTCGAGCCTCCGTGGGGACACCATCACTCACTGTGGAATGTAGGTACATCCAGTTGACGAGTTCCAAATAGGATGAAATGCGCACTCTAGATTCCACTGGTAGTCACCATACACCGATTATCTTTTAAGGTTATTCTTGGAAATAGTCAAGGGCACTTATTGCGATAGACTGAGGTGATGACTAGTCGTATACTTAAGCTCCAACCCTCTTTGTGTACAAAAATAATCTGTTATTACTCCTTATCCACTTTGGTAATCCTTATCTGATTGGATAAACAAATGTTGTATACAATTGGTGGATGGTGGCTAGCAGTGGAATCCAGGATGCGCATTTCGTCCTATTTGGGACTCGTCAGCTGGATGTACCTGCATTTCTCAGTGAGTGATGATGTTCCCACCGAGGCTCGAACCCAGTACCCATAGTTTCAAACGCCAAAGCGTTATCCACTAGACCACTTGGGCCACGAGAGCCACCTCTTGTGCAACGGGTCATATTAATTATTGAATTGAATTTTTGATTTTCCCGACATGTCAACCTGAGACCGAGCACTTCGGTCCAATCAATCGACGGGAAAATCAAAAATTCAATTCAATAAACAAATGTTGCGTTAATTATTCTTATTATTCTTAACTGCTTTTGTCACTTTTTGTACCTTATTTGGCCTTTATTTTTCATATAAATTGACTTGACAAGTTAGTTTGTGATCATATTGTTCGAAATGTATTGTGCGAATGCATCAAAATTTTGAGATAATCTCCGTATTCTAACAACGCTGTCTAAATGTATAAAAGGGACTAGTTTCTTTAGAAAGCTGTTGCTATTATTATTATTTTTATGGTGATAAGATACGAATTACGGCTGGAATCCACTAACCAATCAAACAAAATTCGTAAAAAGCCAATACTTGAAAAAAACAAAATGATTTAAGAATATGGCTGGTGACAAAGAGTGAATGAGTCTGCACCATTGAGAACGATTTAGAGTCTTATCACCAATTTTCTCCAGCCTTCAGTACGCCCCCCCCCTACAGAGTACAGTCAACACCTCCCTACACGGCTAGAACTAACTTTCAAAGATTTCACCGAATTATCCTCTACCACACTAACCGAGTTCCATTATTATTTCATGGACTGATTCTAGGTATTGGTGTGACCAGCATAAGCTCTCTTCCAACCTGATCCTATGTCTACGGCTTCATTTCAGAGTCTGGTAGCTAACCAGTTGTGATTTAACGCGTGCGTCAGTGGCACAGCGCTAGAAAGATCGCCAACTATTCAGGTGGTTTGGGGTTCGATCCCTGTCCGACGCACTTCCTTACCTCGATAAGCCAGTAATAAGACTGGTAAAGATGCAAGGTTGGTCATAAGGCTAGCAGCCCAATTCCGTTGAAACAAATACCACTGCTACCGAAACTTCAAGCCTGTAGCTTGAAGCCCCCTATGTACCACTCGAAACGCAAAGGAATAAATTTTTTTAACAAATAATTTAATGCTGAACACCTGTTCATCGTATTACCACAAATGAAGAACTAAATCCATCTGTTGAGTAATTTTTTACTAGAAATGTTAAGTCAGTATCTACAGTTTTAATCTGAAAGCTAAATATTTAAAAGAAAGTACTTACTAGATTGTAGTTTAGCCACATTATGAATAAGACGGGCTGAGATTTCGTCAGAAAGGACACCATTTTGATTTCTGTTACTCAAGAGAAAAAATACTTCATTAAGTATAAAAACTTTAAAGTGTAAGTCTTCGTGTTATATTATGAAACACAGTGTAAAAATTAAGATTAATTGTCAGCTTGATGTATAACTCTGATTCCAATTGAATTGGTTAGTACTGGCCAAACACCCCTTTAAAAGTCACTTATCTCCAGTTATCAGAATGATATTGAATCGTTGGTAGAGAATTCTTGCACCCAGTTTATTCATGAACAGTTTTTTTTCCATAAAATAATTTATGAATCATTATAAGTCTGTACACGATGAAAGTTTAAAATGGCTTACTAACTAACATTTCATGCCTTTCAAACAGGTTTGTTCACCTATATAGTCAGGACAATCTCTGTGATCAGTTGAGAAATCTGTTTAATAGTCATTTTGATATATTTTGATAAGCTATGGTGTGTCCAAGCTTAATACACTGAATGCTATGCTTTATAAAGACATATATTCTCTAATATTGGTTTTGTAGGGATTTTGTTTGATTGCATAGAGGATTTAATCATGACGTGACATCAGTTATAGAACCACTGGAAAACCTGGGAGTACTGGACAGCTGTTCCGTCCTAGTTTGGGACTCTTCAGCAGTACGCACCCACCGAGGTTCGAACCCAGGACCTTCTGGTTACAAGGCGAGCTCGTAGACCATTGAGCCACTCACTGGGACCCGATCCAATGGTCCTTGAATTCTAACTTCTGCCATTTCATGACATAGCGTGACCACTTCGCAATGTCTTTTTCGATGAGTTACTGCCTCATCTTCAAGCTGCTGTACCCTACTCGTCACGGCTTCCCACCAGAACCCCAGGTCACTCGCTCACTAGTAACTGGCCCTATTCAGGCAGTTAACTTGGGGTTCTAGTGGGAAGCCGTGACGAGTAGGGTACAGCAGGTTGAAGATAAGGCAGTAACTCATCGAAGAAGACATTGCAAAGTGACGTATATTCTCTATTTCATATTCTCGCAGTAAAGTACATTTTCAGTCATACGAGAGAAAGTTATTCGAATGAAAACAATGTATAATCTAAGCTATTCCATTTAATTTATTATTCATAATTTTCACTTTTCCATTGACTTTATAAAACTTTTTTATTGTTTCTAGAATGAATATATCAAAGAATTAGATCCACAGTATGGTAAACTGGGCATACAATTAGTATTACTGGGAAATCTTTGGAAGAATGCTCAGAGTCATTTGTATGAATTAAACAAACTTAATCATGGTTCACTGAGATTTGTATACTCGGCGTCAATTCACAATTATGTTCAAGAGATATTAAATGAATGGGATAATTTGAGTAGTCTGCTACAACTGTCATCAGAATCACAGTCTACAGGTGGGGTGTCATCAGTAAATGCTCTAGAAAATGTGAGTATTATTAATTCTGATTTAGAATATAACTAAAGCCTCAGCTACTTTGATGCCAGTTTTAACTGTATTAATTTTATTTACATTATTGCATCAGAAAGTGAACATTAGAATCTTTGACGGCTGAAGTGGCTTTACAGCTTGGCTTGTACACATAATGTATCATTATTATTATTGTTCCCTTGGGTTCCTAGTGGAACATAGGGCTTCAACTGCACGTCTCCATTTACTTGTGTCTTCTGCTATACTTTTCGCCTGCATCCATGTTAATCCATATTCTTTCAACTCCTCTTCACACGATCTCCTCCATGTCACCCTTGCACTGACGTCCCACTCACCGCTTCCCTTTCGGGTTCCACTCGAGGGCTTGGCGCGCGATATTATCCAGCGGTCTCCTCAGCGAGTGTCCGATCCATCTCCACTTTCTCCTGCATATTTGTTGGGCGATTGGTTCTTGCTTTGTTTGTTACCATAATTCCTTGTTGATGATTCTTTCCGGCCCGGCCATCTGATCTTCAGTATTGAGCGAAGACAGTTGTTGACAAAGGTCTGGTCTGCAACAGGCTGTTGGAAATATTCTTTGTGACCCAGCCGCCAAGTTTCTGGTCTGTATAGAAGAACTGACTTGACGTTTGTATTGAAAATCCTACCAACTTTTGTTGTTGATTCTGGCTGAGTGACCAAGATTTCCAGATTGGTTTCAGGTTGACGAATGTGTTTCTCGCCTTCCCGATTCTCGCTCGATTTGACATCCTCTTATGTTCCCCCTATAGTTGAGACAATGCTCCCTAGATAAGTGAGTAAATGAAGTAACCTCTTTCAAATCTCTCCCGTTGATGGTAATTGACGCTGGATGTTGCTGCTGTTGTTGTTGTTGATTGGTTATTTTCATAACCTCCGTCTTGTCTATGTTCACCTGGAGTCCTGTCTTCACTGTCTGCTTCTTCGACCAGTTTGTCGGTTTTCGCCTGTAAGTCTTTGATTTTGTGTTACATCAAACATAAATCATCCACGCGTGAAATCCAGGTCTTCTAGGTTCTTCGCGTCGTTCCAGGATATCCCTGTCCTGTCGTTTCCCACTGTTTGACGCATAATCCAGTCAGTCCACCACAATTAGGAATATCATTGGTAATAGTAAGAACCCTTGTCTGACTCCTGTGTTTACTCCAAACGCCTCGCTGAGTTTTCCGCTGTGTATCACTTGACATGTTCCGTTGTCGTACAGCTAGCTGTTGAATAAGGTTGATGAATATTTGGGGTACGCCGTAGTACTCGAGTAATTTTCAAATTACTTCGCGATCAACGCTGTCTGTCGAAGGCCTTCTTGAAGTCTATAAAGTTGAGGTAGAGTTTTGATTATCATTCCATGCTTTGTTCGATGATGATGCGTAGAGTTTCAATTTGTACACATAATGTATCATAGGTACTGGTAAGATAATGAAAGTGTAGTTGACTCTTTTCACTTTAGCGAATAATAAAATATACAGTTCAAATCAGTTTTATGTCATTTTATAATAGTCCATGTAGGCATTAATATGCGTTCAACTTCTCAGCCTCAAGTAAACGATGAATTCCCTGATAATGTTCATTCTTCTCTTATTATTTAGACATTTTAGGGGGACTTTCCTAATTTTTGAGATTTTTGTATATTTGAAAGGAACTATGAATGAATTAGTTGTCAATTAAAGTTCTGGAAGTTGTCATTTAATATTAACAGTCTTCAACAATAGGATTTGCTTTTATGAATCATTTATGAATTATACGATATGCACCGTTAGAAAACAGATCGCAGTGCTAGAAACACCACACAACAGTCTACGTCTTCTGAGAACAAGAACATCAGTGATGTATTCAGCTGGCACCACCAGAGTTAGGCTTGTTTGTTTTGAGCAGAATGTTATTTTCAAAAACCCACATCAATTCATCATTGTTTTCTTTCGTAGACTGATAACACTAGGATCACAAGATATTATGGTTTTCTATATCACTAAAAAGTGCGTCGGTAGCATAGCGGTTAGGACGCTCGCCGACCATGCACATGGTCAGGGGTTCGATGAATTCCTTTACCTCGCTAAGTCAGAAATAAACCTGGTAAAGAGGAAAGGTTGGTCATGAGGCTAGCAACACTGCTACGGAAACTTCAAGCCACTATCTTGAAGCCCTATGTTCCACTGGGGAACGTGAAGGAAAACAAAAAATATATCACTCAAATAGGACTTACTCATTGTGAAGTTGATTTATCTTGGAACTACCTATTACTCATGATTATAAGGAGGCTAGCGATCAAAATATAGACTAGTAATTGTGAAAACAACGTTGGAAATGACTGCAAATGAATTTTCTACAGCTGGAAAAGCTTATGTGTGTATTTAAGAGAAACAAAATAACTGAAAGCAGATCTTTATTGTTTATTCCCCTTAAGTAGGTAACCGCAAATAGGCCATGATAATAACAAATGTTAAACAAGCAGGCCTCAATTTCTGAGCTTTTGTGGTAATTCAAATTAAAAATATTGATTTAATTGGTGGATGGTGACTAGCAGCGGAATCCAGGATGCGCATTTCGTCCCACTTGTGACTCGTCAGCTGAATGTACCTGCATTTCTCATTGAGTGATGATGTTCACACCGAGGCTCAAACCCAGTGCCCATGGTCTCAAACGCCAAAGCGTTATACACTAGAACACTTGGGCCACGAGAGCCACCTCTTGTGCAATGGGTCATATTAATTTAATTGAATTCAATTAAAAATATTGATTTTTGGGGAAGTAGTCACACTGAGAATCGGTAAACAACTGATACTGTTCTGTCCCACAATTCATGGCTTTACAGCTTGACTATTTCTCCCCAAATATATTTTCAGCTTTTATGCAGTATTGTTCTGTAGGAGATAGATGGTTATTTTGTGATTTCACTCCAATTACTTGCTTTTGCGATTCAAGTGAACTCTATAAAAGTTAAACAATATCGATTATTTTTTTAAAAATTTAAATACATAATGCGAAGTGAAAATGATAAAAAGGATGTGTTAACGCGCTTAACTACTTTGTACTGATAAATGTTTCCAGTTTTGGATTTCGTAAATAGCAGATATTACTGATAATATCATTCAAAAGTGAAACACTTGATTAGAAACTAGCTTTAAGATAATGTTTTTGAAGTTTTAGTAAGGATTCATCGATCTTAGAATCCATGGTAAGAATGACATTGGGCAGGTGTGCTATATCTCGAAACGAGGAAAATTAAGAACCATGGATCGTTGAATCCGAACCAATGACTGATAGCACCTGACCATCCTGGGTTCTGTCTTTCTTCAATGCACAGGTATGAACTAATATAGGAGTCAAAGTCTATGCAGAATGTCATTTTTGTTGGGGATTCTTCCAAATGATAGTGATTTAAATTAAGGTAGTATAGATAACTGTCAGGAATTTAATTGATTACTGCATTCTTTTTAGTGGAAATCGCCCATTTTGTTACAGGTCACAATGATTCATCGGTAGTTTGTATTAACGTCTACGAATTAATAGGCGTTGAACAACTGATCTCCATAATTAAACTAGGGCAGACTGAAATTGAAGACAGGGGGTATCTAATACTTGTGAAGACCTTGTGCACAGCCATGTGTTTATTGTGTCAGTAAATAGCAGACTGTGTTATATGGATCACTCAGCAAATGGTTTTTTGTCACTGTGCATCAAATCAAATAAACGAACCAATTACACTGGTGATACGTTCAGTTGATTAATAAGAGGTTCCCTGATAAAGAAGTCGAAGTTGTTGTTCTACTTCTTTCAGTATAACGAAATTTATATTGAGACATATTAAGTGTAAAGGTAGAAGTGTACTTGCACATGCACAAAACTCTATGGTTTTTAAAGCATTAGCTGTTGAAGGAGATCTCAGTACACATGCATCGTAGTTGCTTCATAATGTATTCGCTTCCATAATGTGTTTTGTAGGCATAAAATTAATTTAGGTGAACTAATTAATATGTATGTTGCTTTTGTCATCGTGTAGGGATGAAGTTTTTCCACTGTTATATCATAAACAGTTAGTGGCACTTTTGTCCATGATTTGCTAGAAAAACTGAAGTTATTCATTGTCAAGATGGGACTTACTTAAAAAATTGTCATGTATATAATCTAAAATCTCCCAGATCTCTATCAATATCATTTAGATAATCTATAGCCACCACGTTAGGTTAAGACTTGATTACTATGTTGATTGTTGAACCTGAAGTTCACGATTTTCAGGATAAGCGTATACTGAAAGCTAAGCTGTTTGAAGTAACCAGTCAATTAAGACAACTCAGTAAAGTGATAAGCCGAACCATAATTTGACGAATTTGATTAGTGGATGCTTTAAACAAGAATAACGATAAAAGTTATAAGAATGCATAGATATCCATAGCTTCTTTTCTTCATATTAGACGCCTTATTACGTCGATACATTCAAAATTAGATAAAGAATATACTGAATCACATTCTTGTCTGTATACCCATAGTGTTATTAAAAGCAGATCTTGAATTCTAGACAGCGTAAAATGCATTACATTAGTCGATAACACCTGTCTCTGGGTCAATGACTACTTGTGATGAAACTGTTCATTGTGAAATATTTTACTATTAAAAATCCCAGCATCAACAGGAAAGATACGAATATATGTTAATAGTTTTATTTGCTTTCAAATGATAGTTGTTCCATGTCACGGATCTGATAAGAAAGCAAAAACCTTCAAACCACCAGTATAAATAAACTGTCAACATATTAACTGCATATAGTATCAGCTTGCCAGTTGCGATCTTCTTGTTGGGAGGGGTCATTATCTGAAGACTTTTGTATGGCTCAAAACGAGTCAAAATATCAGAGATTTGAATTCTATTTTCTTAATTCTGGAAATCGTATTATTCTTTTTGCTAACTGTTTCTCCCAAGTTTATTTTTATATCATTCTGCTACTTCTAATCTTGTTCATATGTGCTGGTGTGATGCATAGTTGTTTGAAGCGACGCACTTTTGTGCAGGTTTTCATCATGTCTATTCATGTCTGTCTCTCTACCCACCTATTTATCTGTCTTAAGCAAGTGAAGCTTATTAATTTCGACACTAGATTACATTATTGACATTATATAGTGTTATTCTACTTTCGATTCATCTGCAATGGAATTTAACCGTATTGCATCTAAAGTTTCTGAACTGGTTGTCTAAATTCCGTTCCTCTATTCCTTCAGTATTTGTTCAAGTATCTTCTAAGTAATGTGAGCTGCTTACGCAACTTGTGACGTCAACTTCTGGAATCTTTTATTTTTGACGCACCTAAAGAGCATCCTCTCGAAGAAATTATCAACAGAATAAAAGTTCATAAGAATGGTTTTTGCTTCCCAGTCTGTGATGGCACATTTTCTTAGTCCTCTTCTTCAGTCAATATCGCCTCGACAAACCAGTTACAGCAAAAACAAATAAATGTACGATTTTTTTTTCCACATACACATCTTAAAGCTGTAAGCGAATGATAAATAGAAATGAAAATGATTCTGTATTATTTTACACAGGTTGTCTCATTTTTGTTGATTTATTAAAGGGATCCAAATTAACATTTGTCGATTCGTATCATCATCATCATCTTCATCTGTTCTTCTTTTTCTCTGCTTTATTTCGTTACCTGGTTCGTTCATTCTGACCACCTAACTTGTCTACACTCTGCATGTCTCAAAAAATAAACACTCCTGGTTGAAATTAAGTATCCTCTAAAGACTGAAATTTCAACAAACACTGGATCTGTACTGGGAATCCGATGAACAGCTTTTATGAAACTGTAGATCCATCTGAAATAAACACAGTTCGATTGAATGAAACCTGTAAAACTACAACAGCAGTCACCGTGAATTCAGCCTCTACTGCACCATCAATGTCAGTTGTAATATCGCATGAATCTGTATCACCCACTTTGAATCGAATGCGTAATGAGGTACAACAGTTAGCTCGTTGGTTGACTACAATCGGAAATGTACTTGAAACTAGTCAAGCTAAACTCGGCGATCGATTTGACCAAGAAACTGAGAGTCAACAATTACAGGTAACTGAATAATTTTATGTTACATACTTTATATACACATATTTATACATCGTTTTTTTCTTTCTAGTCTTGCATGTTTTACGAAGTGCTTTAATAAGATAAATTAAGACCGTCCAAATGTATTTAAATGATAGGCTTTAATTAATTCATTTGAAACTTTCTTGTTGCACATAAGCATATAAAAGAGTGAACATGTCTCGTTAACCAATCAGAGGGTAAGCTGGAAATATCAAAGAGTTAGTTAACAGGGAAGACACTGTATATGCATTATAAAGCAATCAGTCAATCAGAATTAAGCTAAGATGAATATGATAGGCCGAATTTTCCCTAAGCCTAATCAACTGCACATTCTTAAAGTTCTTAATGAAAGAAGCGACAGATGGTTTATGCTTACTGCAAATTATGATTTCATTGTACAGTGGACTTTGTCATCAGCCGGTATCAGCTACGAAACGCCAGATAAGTAAATCACCTGATGTGATAGTTGATACTGTCTATTATTTATTAACAAAACCTTAGTGAATGCATTAGAATGTTAACAGATAAGAAAAATTTGCAATGAAAACCGCTGTATCCAACTGTGTGACTACGAAAATAATCATCAGCGAAGCAATTTTAATACGTGATTGACTGCATTAAACACGCAAGCCTATCTGATAATGCTAGATTAACGACAAGTGTCATAAACAGTCATACACTTGCTGAGTTCATTGGCCGTTTATCTAAACTAATTTGTTATAGTATTACTGTGAATTATATGAAATGACTATTGTAGTCATTTTATGAATCAGATTATTTCCGAAACTATGCATATATATCGCATACACGCAATTCCATAGACAAAACTCTAAAACTGTGTGGACATCTATGATTTGTCAGCTGGTTACAATGATTTGTTGAGTACACAAATTCAGTAAATGATCGATAAACGAAATCGGTCTCACCCTTAAATAACCAAGAAATTTATAAATGTCAAAATCGAACTTATATGGCATAAAAAATGCTTAACAGCCAGTCTATAAGTTTGAATCAGATAGTCATGAAGTGATGAAGAATATCTTGGAAACTGTATGTTATCCGGGAGAGCATAGAAACACGTATGAGTTAGGAGTAAATAATAATACACACAAATCAAAATGCCAAGACGAGCAAAGTGGAAAGAAGCCAAAAACATCTGACTTGAAATTAAGGACCTTCCCTGAAGACGGGCTCTTTATGCAAACTGCTTTAAATATAAAATGAGAGATGTTCATTTTTAACCTACATACAATTCAGAAATATTATATACAAAAATAAATTTCACCGACAAACTGTATCGTTTATTCAATACTCAGCTAGTCGAAGACAAACTGTTGATACAATAGCAATAAAAATAGTAACGAATGGACTGAAAATTGAAACACCATCATGAAATCAAAAGAAATGATATTTCCTCTAATTCTACCTTTTTTTTCAAAGCTTTTTATTGCATCAACTTTGTCCACCACCACAGAAAAAAGGCTACTTTGAAAAATTTATAACCTATAGATTTATTTTTAACTCAAGTGGCACTAATTGTAACGGAAGTACTATTTCATTCAAATAAATAAAACTGAGTTAAACTCAGTTAATGGAATCCATAACAGTTAGCTTGAAGCACACAGGGAAGTGTAAACTTCCTGATTAGGGTCTTCGGGATAGTAAGAATCAGTGACTGGAGACAGTTGATGATATGGCTCAAAATCGCTCTCAATGGAGCAGACACATTCACTTTCTGCGATTTATCATATCCAAGAAAACTGTATTGTTCTTCCACACTGTTATTCTTCTTCCTTCATACTTCCATTTATTATCTTTCTTTTGAAACTCTCTTTACCCTCTTCTCTTGCTACATGGAGAGTGGTGTACTTGTGCAGAGTTCTAAATTGAGACCAGTCAGTCAGTCAATCAGTGTTGAACTCAATAAGACTATGTTACCATTCGCTTAATACAGGTACACTAGTTAAAGAGACAAACTATCTTGTTTTAAATACCTACTGATAGATGGTACCATAGAAATCAGTAGAACGGGTATGATAGCAATCTATAGCGTATTAGTTGCATGTTAGAAGATCACAGTAACAAACAGTTTACCCTATCTAAAATTTAAATCTGCAAACAAATCTTTGAGACATTTGCTCACTGAAATAGTTTACATAAACCAGAATTATGAGCAAGACAGATATACCAGTCTTCTGGTAAAATTTGAAGATTAATCATGCAAATGTGTTCATTTATTCTTCAAGAGAGAGAGAGAGAGGGAGATAATATTTTCATGGGAAACTGTGTAGATTTGTTACTGATAACTTTTCGCATAAATTAAGGAAGCACTGGACTAGAGTAAAAAGTATAGATTTCGAAAGCATAACAGAAGTTTTAACTGATAGGCGATCAGTTCTATGTACATTTCGATAGCCAATTCGTTTTCATGTTGTCTAAAGACTGCCAATATCGAGTACAGATATATTTTTGAATAACCATACGCACGCACGCACGCACAAACACACACACATACACACCGAATTACATGTACATAAACCTGTAGACCTTGTTGAAGTTGACTGCAATAAGTAAACTATTACTTATCCTTCAGTTTCAATAAAAAGTTTGAGCACTATGGAATAGATCAAATATATTACAATTTATATTTCAAAACCTTACACACAATGATAAGTTTTATTTATTACCTGTTGAAGGCAAAAACAGAATAAAGTCAATAAGCCCCGTATCATTTAAGAACCATAAATTAATACAGTCATCCTCATTAAAGAGAATTTTTGTAGAGGCTTTGTTCATAAATGAAGAGTCAGTCGAAATATTTTAGAAACAAGATGGATGGATTAGTGAGGACACAATAACCCCATTATGTCACACTCTACAGTGAATGTGCTTCTACTCAGATTCAGAAACCCAGTGCTTCTCACCTACTGCACAGGATAACAACCATCCACAGTTATCGAGGGAGTAAATGGTTATACAGTGAGCGTTGTCAATGTTATCGGTCAATATTGCTGGCTGAAAAAAAAAAGAAATTCGAGAAATCCATTTCAAATCAAGTAACTAACCTGTATTGCTTTGTTAATTAATTACAGACTTATCTGGTGGAATCAGATGTTTTGTATGCCCAGTTATGTTGTGTCAGTGAAAGTTATCAATGTGTTTTTTCTTACTCTGCAGCAAATAAAACAAGCTGTGACTGATGGAATTTTATCAGATAAACTGGTCATCTATCATCCAGCCACTATACAACTTAAAATAAAAGTAAGTTGATTGTATTCATCATTTTCTTTTTTTTAGTGATTTGATATTACAGATATTACCACTACTACTAGAATAAATAAAATAGCTCACCATACACACAACAAATACAAAATATTTTCTTTGTGTACGTTCAATACTATCTTACTAAATGCTATAATTATCGAACCAACAGATAACACTCCTGTCTGATAATCTCTATAGTAGGATAAATAAATTTACTTTCCACTTGGGAGCGAGATTTAGTTTTGAGATAAGTAATCTGTTTTCAGAATTACTATGGTTACACTGAAGTTTACTACTTACTATGTACTTGCTGGTTGTTTCCTGTTCAATTGATTCAGTTTAAACTAAGTAATATACTCAGTTTTCTCTTTTAATTTTGTCTGCATTGTATGGGTGTCCTTTATGCACAGGATTACTAGGTGGGGTTGGTGATACTAAAATAAACAGTTTGTTACAATGCATGCACTAACTCATAAGGTCGATGAAATCTAGTGAGACGCTGAGACTCATCAAAAAAGCATTTCAGCAAACAGTAGTATTGACAACTGCATCTCTTCTGGCTTTACTTCTATGTACATAACAATGCACGTAGATATCAAGTTATAGACTAATCAGGGTACTTTGTCAACTGTACTGAAATATTATTGTGAATAATAATAATAATAAGTTGATGATGATGATGAAAGCGATGAAGAAGAATTGACAGTTAATAATAAGGACATGTACAGCGATAAAATCTTTTAAAGTAGTATATTTGCCCTTGGAGAAATTTATTAGAGTAAAACCTCAAGAAGTTTAACTGACAACACTGTTTTTTTTTTTTCAATTTTATATCTCATTTCAAAATAGACAGAGTTTCCACTTCCTATTTAGTGAGAAATTTACCACCCAGTAACTGTCCTACTTTACAGATATTAGACAGGATTGATGTTAGATTGAAGGCATTGAATGACCGAAAGATTTTATCTGGAGTCACCTTTTACAGAACTGCTGAAAATAGTTCCCACCGGATGTTGAGTTGCGCCCAGGTCTGACTTGGAATGTCAGCCACTGAAAAGGAATCTATAAGTTAGGAAATATTTAAGGGCTATAATGATAATATAATTTGTTATTCATTGAACATAGGTTTGAATAGAGTATTTTCTCCTATACTTTTGCCAGCCTACTTATAGAATGTATGCCTACATATGGTACGGAAATATAGATTTGTGTCATTATATTTTTGTTTGAATGCTATCACATGTCTCATCGTATAACAGTATATCTCTAAACTGATTAATCACTATTGAACTAGAAGCCTTTAGTCTTATGCAAGCTTTATTATTATTTTATTATTATTGCTCCCTTGGGTTCCTAGTGGAACATAGGGCTTCAACTGCACGTCTCCATTTTCCTCTATCTTCTGCTATACTTTTCGCCTGCATACAAGTTAATCCATATTCTTTCAACCCCTCTTCACACGATCTCCTCCATGTCACCCTTGCACTGACGTCCAACGCGCCGCTTCCCTTTCGGGTTCCACTCGAGCAATCGCCTGACGCGCGCGCGATATCATCCAGCGGCCTCCTCAGCGATTGCCCATCCATCCAATCAATCTTCACTTTATTCTGCATATTTGTTGGGTGGTTGGTTCTTGTTTTGTTTGTTCCCATAATTCCTTGTTGATGATTCTTTCCGGCCTGGTCATCTGATCTTCAGTACAGAGCGAAGACAGTTGTTGCCAAAGGTCTGGTCTGCAACAGGCTGTTGGAAATATTCTTTGTTAGCTCGCCAAGTTTCTGGTCCGTATAGAAGAACTGACTTGACGTTTGTATTGAAAATCCTACCAACTTTTGTTGTTGATTCTGGCTGAGTGACGAAGATTTCCAGATTGGTTTCAGGTTGACGAATGTGTTTCTCGCCTTCCCGATTCTCGATTTGACATCCTCGTCCGTTCCGACAGCCTGTAGTTGAGACAATGCTCCCTAGATAATTGAGTGAATGAAGTAACTTCTTTCAAATCTCTCCCGTTGATGGTGATGACGTTGGATGATGCAAGCTTTGGTTGGTGATTATGCTGTTCTGCATTCTGATAAGACCCATATACCTATAAAGCGTATTTCGTGTGATAGTTTGTAGGCATTTGATTGGTTTCAAGTTTGCTCGCGGATTGATATTGAACAACTGGAAACCAGAGATTTTTGGACAGCCTTTCGTCTTAGTTTGAGATTCTGAGGACTGAACCTTTGACTTTCAGGTAAAGAGGCGAACTCTTTCACCATTGAGACACGAGTGTTAAGTAAGGCCAAACAAACTGTAATTATAACCCTTATTTTAAACAATAATTGCTTAAAATAATATGCGTTACTGAACGAAAAGGTAGTGTGGACTGACTGACTGACTGATTGCAGTGAATTCAATGCCTATAATTGAATGCGATCTACGCAAAAATGTACAATCAATGAATCAACTATTTTTCATGAATACCTCTATCCAACTTCTAAATTTCATGCCTGCTGTTGGAATATAAATCAATATTTTTGAACACCTGACTCAAACGTTTGAGTAATTTCAGTTAGTTAAAAGTTATTAACTTTGATGTTGAAAAAAAAGAGATGAAAAAGGCTAAAAATCACTCCTAAATATGACTGAATACAACTCACACACATATATATATTCATTCTCAAATAAAACTCTTCCGTGACTGATTTTGTAACTAACAAAGCTCTTCGAATGAAGAATTGAAGAATAGAACTGATCATATATATATACATACTTTAAACGATAACATAATCAAATCCAAGGGTGAGAGCAGGATAGGGTAATGTCCTTTTTTAAAAAAAAAAAGAAACCGTTTTTATATTTAAAAAATTGGTTTACAATTGTCTAAACCAGTGAAAAAGAATTCTGAAAGAATTATATATTTCACTGGCTAAAACGAGCTATTTTTCTCTGTAATTTTAACTACATAAAGTCAATCAAAGATAGCAATCTGTCAGGTTGTGCGAAATCATTTTCATTGGATGCTGTCTGTACATTAATATTCATAAATATAATCCCTTTTTCATCAGTATTCACCAATGCTCAAAATTGTAACGTCGTTTGTCACTAGCTTCTTCACTGCTCAATTTGTACTCCTTTTAGACACCTACTATGCGTAACAGTGTCACTAACTATGGTCTGGAACACTAACTAACTAGATTATGAAGCAATTGGGAAAACTGTTACTTTTTCTTCCTATGAGATATATCAGCGTATACCTTGAAAGAAACGTATTTATTTAGATGACAACTTCATTTACCAAACTAATCGTCTATTTTTATCTGCATCTGTATTAAATTGGAAATTTTAATTACCAAAATGCATAACCGTAAAATAACTACAGTTGATATATTCGTTCGAATTCATTTGAATTTCCTGTTAATTTGTTCATATTGGACGGAAATGCTCGATTTCTGTTGGCACATAGACACCTAAATGATACCTAATATCTGGCATGATACCACCAACCAAATTACCTCATTGTGACCATCACAGACATTGTCTAGACATCAGTATTAGGAGCCACTATGTCAACAGAGAATGGCTGTTTCAGTTCAGTATAAATCAATCAACAGGAAGTTGAAGTTAAACTGAACGTATAACAGCTGTGATACCCACTGCACGAAAAGTGGCTATTGCGTCACGTGATGAATAACACTTTGGCATTTAAAACGGTAAGTGTTGGGTTCGAATTTCAGTGAAAACACCAGATATATATATATATATATCCTGGGACTGTTTCCCCAACACAATGAAACATGTGTCCTGGACTCTATTGCTAGCTACCACTGACCAAATAACATGAGGCTAAATTGATTAACTTTAATATAACTTAGAAATGAACTTCATTGTCTCTGTGGCAATTACTATTATTATTATTGTTCCCTTGGGTTCCTAGTGGAACATAAGGATTCAACTTCACGTCTCCACTTGCTTCTGTCTTTTGCTGTACTTTTCACCTGCATCCATGTCATTCCATACTGTTTCAACTCCTCTTCACACGATCTCCTCCATGTCCCACTAGCCGCTTCGCTTTTGGGTTCCACTCGAGCAATGGCCTGACGCGTGATGTCACCCACCGGCGGCCTCCTCAGCGAGCGAGTGTCTAATCCATCTCAGTCCACTTCCTCCTGCATATTTGCTGTTGTTGGACGATTGGTTCTTGTTTTTTTTGTTCCCATAGTTTCTTGTTGGTGATTCTTTCCGGCCCGGTCATCTGATCTTCAATATAGCTCCAGCGAAGACAGTCAGTTGTTGATAAAGGTCTTCAACAGGCTGTTGGAAATATTTTTTGCAACCCGCCAAGTTTCTGATCCGTATCGAAAATCCGAATTTTCTTGTTGATGCTGAGTGACAAGGATTTCCAGATTGGTTTCAGGTTGATGAATGTGTTTCTCGCCTTCCCAACTCTCGATTTGACATCCTCGTCCATTCGTCCTGTAATTGAGACAATGCTCCCCAAATAAGTGAATGAAGTAATCTGTTTCAAGTCCCTCCCGTTGATGGTGATTGGCGCTGGATATTGGTTCTGTTGTTTTTGTTGGTTGGTTGATTACTTTCATAAACTCCGTCTTGTCTTTGTTCACCTGGATTCCTGTTCTCGCCGGCTGCTTCTTCTGCGTCGGTGGCACAGTGGACAGGACTCTCGCCGACCATGCGCATGGTCCGGGGTTCGAGCCCGCACCGACGCACATCTGATATCTATGGTCGGCCTGCAAAATTTGGGCTACCGATATCCATGCTGAAAATTCCATACTTGTACCGAAAATACAGTGTGGAATCAAGCTGTAAATAAAAATAAAATAAATAAAATACCGGTTTGTCGGTTTTCGCTTGTAAGTCTTCGATTTTGTGTGATATCAAACATAAATCATCCACACGTGAAATCCAGGTCTTCTAGATTCTTCACGTCTGTAGCAATTAGGTCAAAGTTTAATTCTGGTCAGTAACTTGCGTTCAAAGCAAGTTGTTAATAGAAAAATTCAAGAGGAATCCACAATTGCAACTCAGTAACACAATCACTAAGTTTTCGGATGAAAAAATTCCCAAATACAGCAGGCAGTAAATTTATCATTTATGTAATATATATATACCGTTTTTCTGTTATACATCATAACCATTTTATCTATTGGAATGAAGGCTGAGCTATTCTAGGTAAAAAGTTTATTTGTCTGTATCAAAGATGGATAATAAATTCTACTTTTTGTACCCACAGGGTTGATAATTTTATAAACTTTTGGCATTTGGTTAATTTACTTGGAAGCCATTTTTCTGTAGAATTACTTCCATATCAATGAGATGATCAAAATAGATCAAAAATGAGATAACTCATACTAACTAGTTAGTTATGCTTACGGCTAAGGCAAATGTATTAAACCGGTCTTAAAGTCTTTCTCTGTAGAACATATAATATATAGTGGATTAATATGAACTGGTTGGGATAAGGTTGTTATAGTAACTAGGTCGTTTTTTCTTCTCAGATGCATAAATCATGATCAGAATGTAAATATTTCATTTGCTCCTACATTTGCTTTACTCCTGTTTACCCTTTTCTGCATGTTGCCGGTATATCGTTTCTATTACCATTTTGACCAAGTTACACAAATAATCAGTAGACCTTGAATAATACTTATGACTAGACATTTATCATAACTATCATCCCGTTGACATGAACAACAGAGATGCTTGAGAGGTCATTATTTCATTCATACTCTGAAAGCTCATTTAGACGTTCCACATGATAAGTAATTAGTGCCAAAGCCTTTTAAAATAAACCTAGTAGGTATTGAGGGACCTAAGTAATGCAGTGTCGTATTTTCTTCTTTCTTTGGTCATTGTATCTTAAAGTTCTATATTATATGTGCATATTTTGTGAAGAAATGTCATGATATTTCGAAATTAAGCAGCTCTTCGATACTTTGTCATTATTCTGATTGGCGGCAGAGATTTGCTTAGGATAGTGAACACGTAGATTTTCTAATATTAAGTCTATTCAAACAGCAATTAATGTACAAGAATAACAACCACCGTTCAGAAAAAGGTGGGAAAAGAGAAAAAACAGTTAACTAATATTTCTTATTAATTTTCTCAGTAAAGCATACGCACAATGCCAAACAAAAACGAGTTTAATTAGCAGTATAAGTAGAACAAAAACTGACATCTTTCACTACAAGGGCTGTATACCGAGTTCAGTTAATCTACCCACATTTCCCTCTGATTCTTATGTTTTTTTCTAGGAAATCTCACCTTCAGCAAATGAATTATCTTCATGTTTAAATCTATAACTTTCTATTTCATTATCCTAGATGATTTCATTTTTTCTTATCTACACACACACACAGCAATTTCTAACGGAACTTGAAGCACGTAAACCTCAAATAGAACGAATGCATTATGAAAAAGAACGCCTTCTGTCTTGGACAACCAAAGATCCATCAGTTGATGAGTTGGCAACACAAAGTAAGTCAGTTGTTTTTGTGGAGACGATTTGAGTTACTATATATATATATATATATATATATATATATATATATATATATATACAAAGTCGTAGTAGTGGTAATATTAGTAGAAAAAGTACCAGTGTGGTTATAGTTGTTTGTTTTTTTTTCAATTTCTGAAAGCACCTTACTTAATGTTGTTTTGCAAAATAGTATTATTCATTTATTTGAAGATCATTCCTGATTGCAGTAGACTGGATAATGCGACAAACAACGGGCAGTGAGGAAACAGGCATAAAATAGACTCACACAAAAACCTAGAGGATCTGGACTTCGCGGATGACATATATATGTCTGATTTCCCACAAACTGGAAGATATGCAAGTGTAAAACAACAAGCTGGCAGAAGAAGCATCAAAGATAGGACTTCAGGTAAACACAGACAAAACAGAGGTGATGCAGATTCCTGGCCAACACCAACAGCAACAACAACAGACAACAATCAGCCAGCATTAATGGGAGGAACCTGAAAGAAGAAACCTCCTTCACCTGCCAACCTACCTGGGAAGCATCGCTTCAACTACAGGCGAACGGAAATGACGAGGATATCAAAGTCAGAATCGGAAAAGTAAGACAAGCTTTCATTGCTCTTAAGTCTGTGTGGAGGTCAACAGTACTGAGCATCAAAAATAAGATCCGGATTTTCAACTCCAATGTAAAGTCAGTGCTACTATACGGATCAGAGACTTGGCCAGCGCGTCATAAAGAGCATCTCAAACAAACTTCAGATCTTCATCAACAGCAGTTGTCTTCGCTCAATACTCAAGATCAGATGGCCGGCCAGAAAACATCAGCAACACGGATCTCTGGCAATGAGCGAACCAACACAGCAGGAACCGATTGTGAAACAAGTAGGCAGGAAGAAATGGAGATGGATTGACTATGTGCTGAGGAAACCATCAAGTGACATCACTGGACAAGCCGTCGAGTGGAACCCGAAAGGGAAGAGGCGAGTTGGTGGTCAGTGTGAGGGTGACATGGAGTAGGTCATGTGAAGAGGAGATGAAAGCATGTGGACAGACTTGGAGCGGGGTGGAAAAGTTGGCAGAAAACCGAAGGCAATGGAGACGCGTGGCTGAATCCCTATGTTCCTCTAAGAATACAAAGGATATAATAATAATAAATAATTTGGAGGTCATAAAACCTCTCTAATTCATACATTTCATCCTTTTTCAAGAGAAGTACAAAGGATATATATATGTATATATATATACTCCTTTTGTCTGTTATTTTTAATTGGCTTTTCATCTAGATTATCAAACACAGTTAGACAAACCTGTCCGAATGATTGATTTATTATCTCCTTTGAGTAATGTCATAAGTGGGTATTATAAAAGGCTTTAAATTAACATCCAGAAAGTTTCAAGTATACCAGGAAGTGGTTGGAGTATAACTAAAGTATTGCATGTTTTGCATATACTGAGTAAAACTTATCGGGAAATTTTTTCAGTACCTGTGGAGATGCCAAAATGGGAGTTTTTTTTACTAGTAATCCATCTGAATCACGACCGATTCTGTATAGAACTTAATTACACACACACAAACTGATCTCTATCCAAGAAACTGAGTAATACAGAAACGCTGACTAGGAAGAGATCAACAGTTTTGATTTTTGCTAGAGATGCGTGGATGATCTCTCTCTCTGTCTGGTAGTCAAAGTTGGAAAGAACACTTCATTTATAGTTGTACTTCGAGACTGGATATGCCTTTTTATTGTGAGCATGATAAGTGTTTAGCAACTGTGAAACAGGATTGGTTGTTCTAGACTGTTACTGATATTATAGGGTAGGAAGATAGTGGAATGGAGGAAAGAACAATTAAAAAACTGTAGGAAAGCGAGGAATAAACAGGCAATAACTATTATCAAACATTCATATATATATATATATATATATATAGTGAGATAGACACATTCATACTCACAAAGGCACACTAACACAATTAAAAAGTCACAAAAACATAAAATGCCAACACGCGAACTGCTGCAAATATACGGTGGATAAATAGCATTAAAAGCCAAGTGTAATAACTGCTCACAGTTCAGTTTTTTTTCTGCAAACGTACGTATTCTATATTCCGTCTGAATAGAAGGCAATGAATGGAATGCATTTTTTCGCCTACCTATCGTTTATCTATAACACGAAAGAATATGGATGAATAATAAGCATAAACAGAACTTCAAATAAATTCCATATCTTACATCTGATTCCCTATACATTGTGGATTATTTTACATAAAACACCCAAGTGTACTATGTAGGTGATAAGGAATTAACAACCGTTTCATTGACAGTGTAACTCAAAATGTTCACCAATCCAGTCTCTCGACTACTGTCTGGATTTGCTCAGGCTATTATAGAGCTTGTTGAGGATGAGACTAAACCGACCACTATCTGCACTAACTCGACAAGTACTACTAATACTAATGCTATACGAAGTATCAATTCTCGTCATCAAACGGCTGTCCCGAGTCAAACTCACGATTCATCCAGAGATTATGCACCGAGTTATTATCTTTCAAGTGAACAGAATAAATCAGAACAGCCTATGGTAAAACAAACATACGAAGATCCTACTTCGTTGTCTAGCCAAACACAACACTCTCCAACATCATCTCCAATAATTTATGTCGATTCAGTGAGTGTCAGTGGAAAAGAAATTGAGATAAACCCACCAGATTCTACTAATCCACCGTCATCAAATAGTCAAAGTGTTGTCATGACAGCCAGTGAAATCAATGTTAGTGTCATGCATACAAAAAATAGTGAAATTCCCAGCTTATCTCAGGTTGAATTGGAAAATATTCAGGAAGAGATTCAATCGACTGATACTGACACAGATTCATGTTTAACAGAACCACAAATCTCACCAAACTATTGTTATCTAATGAATAAACGTCATAGTCTAGATGAATATGAATTTAAAAATTTAGATTTCCCTATAAATATGGATTACTCTTCTGATGAAAAGTATCCAGGAGTTTTACAAGAATTAGAATCTCTTAATGAAGCTAACAAACAGGATGTCAACAAGAATGAGTTGATTTCATCTGTAAATATACAAACTTCTGAGCATAATATTTTTGGTATGTGACAGTCAAGTATGAACGTCTATAGCAGTTTATCTCTTTTATACTTTTGATTTTCCAGAGTGATTCTATTAAATTAATTAAGATTTGCTTAGTTACCTTTAAGTTAATGTATATAATTTATATGCTGATTTATTGTTGAACTCATACAGTTTAGAATAGTCATGAAAGATATAAAAAATGATTTAATGAGACTCATTTCCAATAATCACATAGAGTTAAGTATACAGAACAAATAAATTCAGATTTTATAATGAGATATCCAAGTTTTTAATTGTGAGTGATTATTTTTATAGACTGCATTGCCTCCATTGTCATAAATATTTCAAAACCAGATACTTTGAATGTTGATGAATTCACAGTTATATCTGGTGTCTACATTTCGTCACATTCTACCTAATTATACTTGTTCCCTACTCATTTATATGTATGAGATCAAACATTAAGAATAATTTATAGTACTGAAATGAATACTATCAAAAGAACAAAAGTCAACAATGATTATTTGTTTGTTATACCGAGATATGAGCCTAATCAACTACAAAAAAGCTGTGAAATAAACGTGTAACAAATTCCAGTGTCATAGAATGGCTTGGTGATGCAATCACTGTGGTATGTTACGGTGAATACGCGTGGACTTTGTAGTGGGAAGACGCTTTCAAATCTTGTCGTTTCATCTTTGTACAATTACTGTCAGTCATTTAATTATTTTTTCCTTTATCAGGTGAATTAATGAATGCGTACAGTATGTGTAAAATCCAGTCAACTGGTAAAAAAATATTTTAGCAAAGATTCTTTTCAGAAATTGAGAAAGTTTTTTCCTGTCTAATAACCAGCATGATACTTGATAATACAAGTAATTAGTTAAACCATATGAATACATTTAAAGTAAATTAACTGAGTGTGATTAAAAGTTGACTGGTGGATGGTGGTGACTATCAGTTGAATCCAGGATGCGCATTTCACCCTATTTTGGACTCGTCAACTGGATGTACCTGCATCCAGCAATTAGTGATGGGGTTTCCGCCGATCTAAAAATGAATTCAATAATCAATATCACTCTTTGCAAGCGAAGTGGCTCTCGTGGTCCAAGTGGTCTAGTGGATAACGCTTTGGCGTTTGAAACTATGGGTACTGGGTTCATGCCTCGGTGGGAACGCCATCACTCACTGCAGAGTGCAGGTACATCCAGTTGACGAGTTCCGAAAGGGACGAAATGCGCATCCTAGATTTCACTGGTAGTCACCATCCACCAATCAACTTCTAAATTAACTGAATGTTCCTAGTGTACATGTACACATAAATAATTGACAAATCTAAATAACAATAGGTTTTCAAAATTTTATCTATCTAACTAGATGGAAACATGGTACAGTTAAACACTAAATAAGAGTTAATTTTCCACAGAATGCATATAAAAACTTTGAAAGTGGTACTGTTATTCTTTCTCAACGTTTCATGACTCAGGTTCAGATATCGATTACTCATGAAACTAATATGTGACACCTAGTAGAAATTGGTGTCACTGATTCATCCTTCCTAACATTCAAATGGAATTGGATATCATCAGTCAGTCAGTATTCCGTATAACACCCATTCCTATTCATGGTCGTTAAAGATAACATCAGGATTATCTCCAGAGGCTTTCTTTTACTTTCTTTTTTGAACAAAAAACTCTTTGAAGTTTTTCATTTGGTCAGTCTCCGGCCAATCTGTCAAGGGCTCAATGTCGATTTCCCATCTTCTGTTTATCTGTTATGTGTTATCACGTAGATGTGCTACGGTAACTGCTGTTTTAATTTGTTCTACTCTATAACCTTGCCTGATTTCCTTTTGCTTCAATTCGCTACGTAAATTATGAAAAATTTATCTCTTTCTTTTTCATCACACCATCAATAGATCTCTTCATGATTTAATTCCCTTTAACTTCAGCCTTACTGGCGTCAAATGAATACTTACGAAGAATACTCATAAAAAATAACGAATGAGAGGTTGATTTTAGCTAGGATGGGTTCTGTGATTTGTTTCTGTAGAGAGAAGGTTCTCAAGACTAGCTGGTCTCGCTACATAGCCAAGAAGAAAAACTTAAGAAAGAAGAAGCATCATGCTGCACTCCCAGCTTGAAGTTGTCATCTAGTCAGTTATTAGATATTCCGCTAGGCTGTCGTGTGAATGAGTGGTCAATAAACATTTCTTTCTGTTAAATTATCTGGCTGATTTTTTCATTTAGTAGGTCAAATTTCATTGGATTGAAGATTAGTGAAACCACAGGGTGAAAAAGTATGAAAAATGCGACACAGTTTGCCCTAGCTCTCAATGGAAATTTACAAGATAAAAATTAGAAATAATAAAATCCTTGTTATCAGCAGTGTCAATGACATATCGGAAAAAACCTAACAGAGATTAATGGAACAATGTTACTTCATATTACATAGGTTCTAATAAGTCAAATGTCGTTGAAATAAGTCATAAATAGGATTTCAAAGGTTTAATTGATTCTGAGGCATGTCAAACGAATTCTCCGGTCACCTGTTTCTTTGTCTTCCACATATTATCAACAATCTTATTGTTTACTTCCATATTCTGAGGATTTGTGCTAGATTCACATGCCTGGATCTGGACGCATTCAGCTTCACCAACTTTAATCTAATGACAACATAATTATGAAGTCAGGAACTGTTATATATATATATATATATATACATATATATATATATACATATATATATATATATACATATATATAAGTTTAGACCTAATCTACTACTTCTGTTATACATGTAATACCGATAGACAGGGAGCTGTAGACATGGATTTCTGGCCCGGAAGACATTCGGCAGTGAAACATAACTGCAACTCTAAAAAATAACCTTTTCTACATATTCTGTTTGGGCAGCTTAAAACCTTTGAACTGAGTGTTCATTGTTGAATATGTATGAGGTATAGTAGTATTTATTGATGTATTTTTCCGTCTGCAACTAATTCTTGAGTTTGACGGGTTCTGTGGCTATAATCTGTTTACTAAATCTTGCGTTTTACTGTAATGGTAAACAATGAGAGAGAGAGAGATTCAAATGAGTTCACTTCATACTGAAGTCTGCATAAAGATGTTGCCTAGATGGACAATGAAAGCTTCTTAATTAAATCATCCAATTCAGAGAATGCAGCCACATAAAAAAAAGCTAAAAAGAAACTGTAGGCATAAACAAAACTTCTTCGGAAAAAGCTTGCACACAGCATTGATTTTTGTATCTATCAGCCTGTTTACAAAAATATAATTAACGTAAGTGTTTACCTTCTGTCAGCGGTAATTCACATACACATACTCGGTATAGATACTTTTTTTTCAGGTGTTTCTTTTTCTTATTCTTTTCACTCTTTGTGTTTACTATTAAATTTATGCAACAGTGTAACAGAGGGAACAAATTTAAATTCCTTAGATGTATACTGGAGATAATAAATCAAGGCGTTTACATTACGTACACAAAATTACAATGAGAGTTCATTTTAGACTCTTGCCCTGAAAAAATTATTTATTTATTCTTTGTTTTTTTGTTTTTTTTCTTTTGCATAATTGAAATAAATTATTAAGAGATCTGAATCTTGAGGGAAAAGAGGGATATATATATATACCATATAAAGATTGTTCATCAAATAGGAACAGTGATTATTTATTACCACAGTCCGTTTTGTTTCCTTTTTTCATGAGAGCAATTTAGTCAGTATCAATAATAATAATAATAATTAATGGGTGTAAACCATAAGCATCTTTTTGATTTTGTAATTTTCCGTCTTATTTAAATCTTCTCAAAAGAGAAACGGTGGGATGAGGAGGGCAATTTTGAAGGAAAAGGAAAATAAAGGAGGACATTTACCAAAATAATAAATTCGCGTCTTTCATCTCTATGAGAATGCATTTGTCTTCCTGCCGACCACTGACAATATCTGAATATTAGATGAGTTCTACGATAACTATGGGAAGTATGAAGAATAGATACGACACTGAATGTTTCCAAGAAATAACCTATTTGCTGTGGAAATATGTGTCAGTCTTTCTGTTTTGTTTTTTTATTTATACACTAAATGACCTTCCAGTTATAGATTCGTTTCAAAAGGTCAACGATATGTTTGACTGTTACCGTTATGCCATGAGTTTTGTATCTGTTCTTTATCTTTGGCATGAGAAAAGTTACTACACAACACACTCTCTTCAAGAAGCCATTCACTCTTGTAACAGTCACTGGTAATGCTTGTCACTTCGACCACTGACTATTATCAGATCCACTTCTACCCTCGCCACTCCATAATTAGTTAAACTGAATATTCTTCTGATTACAGATTTTTGCTTTTGTTGAATTCCAGTATGGAGAAAATATAGTTTCAAAATGATTGTTTTTGTGAATTCAGTGTGCAGTAGACATAATCTTGGCATTATCTTATTTAACATGAAAGCGAATAAGAGTGCTGTTAAAGTAATACTACAAAATGACAACTGTCTAGTCATACTGCCTATAAACTGTATAATTACGATGCCCACTGGATACATCGCTTGTATACGCGTAAACGAAAGAACATGAATTTCTCTCATAAGATTTACCACATATGAAGAACCTTACAGTAATCTCGTAGTAATTTTGCAATAAAAAACTGGAACAGTTAACTGACATCCAGTGTCTTTTAGATTACTGTCTCCATCCACTATACAGAAAAATATAATGAGGCCTAATTTATAGACAGGAAACATGTTAGCATATATAGTATGGTCTTCATTTCCCATAATAATTGATGTATAGTCAGGTTTTGTGTATGTAAAAACAGAAAAAGATGATTGTTATATTAGTGTAGGACCTATAACCAAAGTAGTTTTCGAATCTGATGCATCAAAATACTGATAAGAAATGTAACTTTCGTTTATATAGATGCTGTTATCTTTTCCTTCCTGGGATTCACTTATCCTCTCGTGTTATGGAAAATTATAGTGACCACGACATTGTCCTACCTAATCTACAGTAAAATAATGTCTTTGTCCAGTATTTTATGTAGAACGAAACAAACTTTAAGTAATGACAAAACAGTGTGTTGAAACTAGTTAATGGAAGATAAATGGATGGCTTAACCGTTAGGTGTGCACTGTTGTTAACACTGATGATCATAGGTGTATGGAAGACTGTGAGCATACTTTCACTGGACACGAATAACTATTGTGATGTGTCTAGTCCTTTCTTTGATGCAGACTGAATCCTATCAGTTAGGTTTGCGATGTTGCCACCATTCTAGGTAGCTCGCCATGGGACATAAGTTCCTTCAAGGTTGCAGATACGCCTTGCTGACGAGTGCCAGCTAGAACGAAGCCTAGATCCGATTGCCTTCAACCATCCTGATTAATAAGAAGTACGAAACACACAAGAGACAATCCTTAATACTCAGTGTTCAGGCCAGTTTGTAGCCAATATTAGCAAAATCTGTTACCCATTGGAAAACATGCTTGTTTTTAACTTTTGCCTAATAAATTTCATTTTTCGGCTGAATGTATACAGATATTTGCTAAAGATCTCATTCTGTTGGTAATGATTTGTGAACTGCAAAATAATCTATAAAATCAGAATTATATTTCTTGGGTGACAAGACTTTACAATCAATCAGTCAACATTTTTACAGTATCCATCTGCTTTATAACCGAACAGAATATTCAGGTGTAGGGATATATGGTTGAATGAGTCTTTGTAGAACAGACATGAAATATACTTCATTAAGGTCACTGTTTATTATTCCTTTCTAATTCAATTACCTGTCTGAAATCGATCCGCTATCGTGGTCACATTGTTGATATGAATTGATGATAAATCCGGTTAGCTTTTATTTATCCCCCACCCTTTAGAAAACTCAAAAACATATGGAAATGAAATGAATCTCCTTATTTTCCCAGTAGCTGTTTATCATTCATTATTATTTTTCCTGAGATTCGGACAAATCAAGCGTGTCAACATTAATGACTATTTTTGTTCATATTTATGGTATGCACTGAGGTCACATCTGCATGCCTGTGTTTATCTCTCCGTGTTTCAGTGTGTGTAAGTACGCAGATGGGCGTGATTTTGTTGAATTATCTAGTATAGAAGTTTTATTATTCCCTTAAATTCTTAGCTCCGTGACTGACTATCTCCCCTACTTTCTGATGTATTTTCATTCGAACACCTATTTACTGTGTGCATACACTAAAGTACACACATACACACGCGTACGTGATGAAAAGTTATAAAAATGGGGTCATATTTTCAATAAATCCTTTTTGATCACTGAACAAAGAATATTCTTTTCCATAATTTCATCATTAGGTTCTACAGTTGTATATTCATAATTATGAAAGAATGATTGCTATCGTGAACACTAGTGGTTGTTACAGAGTAACATCGAATCATTTAGATCAAAATTACAAAAGTTATATGCTAATAGTTTGTTAATAGATTATGGTAATTGTAATACTAAACTGAACACCGATATTACAAAGCAAATGCTTAGGAATGACAACGAATGTATAGTAATAAATTCTTATGAGTCGTGTTCATATTAAATCCTGTTAATATTGATTTGAAACTTCAGATGGACAGGGGTAGAGAAAAAAATGTTGGGGTAGCATTTTATTTGCGTATGTATGCGTGTCAGTGTGTAAGCCAACAACTAAGAAATAAAAGGTTAGTTAATGCAAATATAATGACAGGGGGTAGGGGAATTTTATGTGCAGGATGGAGGACCACTTCAAAAAAGACCGATATCGTAAGGTATTTATGAACTTCCAAACTCCACCGCAGGCCAGGGTAGTAATAGTGGTTGGACCTGTTTCTTCTGAACACAGACCATCGGTTGTGTTAGGGCGGTACTTGGACGCTTTTAGTAATTTATTTGGTACCTGGTAGATGGTAGAGAAGGATTCTTCAATGCTGGTTTTGCAGCCTGTTTGGACCAGGTGGTCGAAGTGTTGATGATTTTTACTACACCTTTATTTATAAATAATACCTTCATTCTTAGTGAAAGTGATTTTCGGATCCCCTTGCAGTTTCACCAGTGATGTTGTTTTTATGGGATGGAGTTGCTAGACTCAACAGTAACTTCTCATCTTCTCCAGGCTGAATACCGGTGAGGTTTCTGAGTGTCGGCCGGGAATCGAACCCGAAACTTCCATGCCGTTGGTGAGCATTCTAATACTGAACCATTGTGGTAGTTTGACCTTCTTTATCTAATTTCAACTGTATCTGAGTAGTTTTCAGGTTTTAAATAAATTCCAACTCCACCTAAAAGACTAATTATGCCAACTACTTAAATATCGACCGTAACTATCAGACCTCATAGATACATTTCACCAAGGACTGATGTCACCTTGATCAGTATAGACAGATGACCAGCTATTAGGGAGCACTCATGTTGTGGCATTTTATTATTCTTAAAGTTCTAAACCAAACTCATCAGTCTCATACCTTACAACAAGCTGTATTCGTACTCACGCTTGATAATTTATAGTCTGATTATGTAGTCCTAACTAAGTGTTATTATAATGCATACAGAAGTCAAGTCTTGTCCTTCAACCTCTGGAAAGTTGGTCGAAGAAGCAAGAAAGTTGTGAATTAACACAGGATTTTTGTTATCCAATTGGGCGAAATGAATCATTTGGATAGCTCTTTTTTTATCAAAAAGTGTGAGTGGTGACAGTCATTCTCTATTATGCTTGAGGTTATTTAAAAGTCTCACTATACAGTCAGTTCAGGCTGAAAATTTTTGTTTTTGTTTGGGCAGTGTACGGAAAAACTGTTTTAGCCCATAGAATGAGGACTCGTTGCACTCCAGTGTGTGTTCATGACTAATACCGATTTCTGACTATGATTCCTTATGTGAGGAAAACCAATAAGTATAAACAAAATTTGTTTCAAAATTATTATGTTTTTCTTTTAATGGTCTATCCCACCTAAAAAGAATGGAGAAAAACAGATCAGGGATAGTGAATTTGTCTGTAACTTTTAAGAATATCTTTGTTGACTTAAAGTTTTTATAAGATCACTGATAAGTTCTAATAAATTGAAACAAAGCAAAGAGGATATATTTCAAAAAGCCAGATGGTTTTAGTTTGATACTAATACACCTTTTTCGTTACTTTTTAAGATAAGCATTCATCACACTACACACTGAGGCTTTATGCCCACCAGTAGTAAAATAAGTCCTGTTCGATTCCATGCCTTCCGAATGGAAAAAAGATTCCTTTCTTTGAAGTTTCAGTAGCAGGTGGTACTGTTTTTACCGGGTGAAGGCACTAAACTCACTCGTAACACTCCCCTTTTTCCGAGTCTGTTATCGGTTAGTAGACTGGACAAAATTTAGGAGTGCATCGGCCAGAGTTCAGAACTGAACCATTTACGTAGCTGGCGAGCATTCTGTTGTCGAACCACCGTCAAATAGCTTTGAAATTCAACTGTGAATTATACATTTTATGCTTGCAAGTTAGTACTTGCAAGACGATTATTAAGCAGGAGTGGATTTGAAGTTTTTAACTAGCTGATTAGAATAGAAGAAATTAAGAATCACTTTGCTGAATCCATTTCTTTTGTCATTCAACAACATCACCTCTGCCGTTACAACTACTACTACTACAGAATTTCAAGCGTATCTGAATAAAGCTGTTAGAATTCATATTCATATTACACCTTTTTCTTTCCTATAAGTTGATGTCATTCACGATACCCAGCTTCCGTTTTGACAAATTTTGTTGTTTAAAACTTAGTTTATCTCACTTTTCCCTCACCTATCAGAATTTCTGCCAGACTTGTCAGTGTTGAGAACTGTGACATCCTTAATGAGTTTTTACACCAAAAAGAAAACTGATGTATTCACTTCTATTCTTTAGTAAGTAGGTGATAAACGATATCCCCTTCAAAAATGTCCAGACACATCATTATCATGATCAAAGTTCAAGCAATAGCTCATTTAAGGGTTTTTGCTTCACAGTGTGCATTTAAATAAAAATTTCCTGCAATTGATTCTTTCTACTACTTATTATCAAATAAGTATTTATTGACATTGACCAGATAATCACTTAGTCATATCAACTATTATCTAAGACTTTTGGTACTGCTACCGGATGATATTAGATAGTTGGAGGCAATCGGCAGGAAGTCTTGGACCTTGGGTTTCGTGCTAGTTGGCTGATAGAGTTCAGTCTGCACCAAAAAGAAAGGACTAGACACGTCACACTAGTTACTAATGTCCAATCAAAACTACTAGCGGACGTTATAAAGAGAAATATACGAGTTGTTGAATAGTTAAGTGTCATTCAATAATTCAATAATTCATTCACAGTTTCATCTTAATGAATATATTTTTACAAACGTATGCATGAATATGGTGTACTTTGTACTTACCTAGGTTTCAGATTTACTACTGAACCTCAAAATCTGCTATGTTTTAAAAAAAATCTAAAAATCAACTTTTTGTTCTGCAGTTGATCAGTTACAAAATCAATGGAATTCAATTGAAAAACAAATGATTAAAAGATCAGAACAATTAGATCAAATATTGACCGGTACACAGGCGTTGAAGGAATTGGAACGTGAAGTAGAACGTGAAATTAGCAAGGCAGAAGCAGATTTGCAGAGTATTGATGCCTCAAAATATCAAGAAAATGAACAAAGTTTATCAGCCTCCAGAGTTCTTGTGATGAGTCCAGAAACCTGTCGTAAACACTTACAAGTATGTGATTATGTATAAATTTTGTTTTTCACAACAGACTGTTCACTTTGCTTATGGATCATCGATTCATTTCAAGGTCGTTGTTGTTGTTGTTTTTATTATCACAGATAAATATTAGTGAGTGTGAAAAGCCAAAATTTCCAGGGGTTGAAATCCAGTGTAGATTAATTCGTTTAACATGTAGACAGAATAAACGTGCTTTTACATACGTTGATGTATTAATAAAACATTTCCTAAACAACGCCACAATTTCAGCATAATCACAGTTTCTTATAAATAATCCTGAAATCTAAAACTTAGTTCCCTTTAATAATTTCAAAGAAACAATAAGAAGACTTAATTTATCTGAAACGTGTAATGCATTTGTGCAACACATTTCATGCATTCTGCTTGTCATGCATATTCATATAAAAGGCAACATAGCACAAAGGATTACAATTTTTATCAAAATAATAGGTCAGAATGTTTACAGGTCATGATCTCAGATAAGACATAGGAAAGGGAGGTAAGAAAACCGGGTAAGAAAAAAAGGCAGGGGGTGAAAATACTATTAAGTAAAATAAATCTCGGTTCCAAAATTGGATAACCATATCAGGTGCAGAGTAATGACAAATAATTTTTGAACACATAAAACAGGCTTAAACCTTTTGATGTCTAAGTCTTCAACGAATTTAAATATATGGGTTTAAAGGCATTACTGAAATCGACTTTGTGACCCGTTTCTATGTTCTTTGGGTGAATAACGCTAGACATCCATTTCTTTTACGTCTTCTGATTGTTTTTTCTAAATCTTGACATAATAGACAAAGCGTTTAGCGTGCTTTTGTTTTTTTTAATAGACTAAAAATGCATCGGCAGCACAGTGGTTAGGACTCTCGCCGACCATGCACATGGTCCGAGGTTCGATCCCCTGCCGGCGCACACCTGATATCTATGGTCGGCCTGCAAAATTTAGGCTACCGATATCCATGCTGAAAATTCCATACTTGTACCGAAAATACAGCGTGAAATCAAGATGTAATCAAAAATAAACAAATAAACAAAAATAAAAGATAAAATCTTTAGTTTCTCTCCTTTGTTTGCGAAGGACAGTAAAACCGTTATCTAGAAATGCAGATTCCGGGGAAAAAATATTTCGCCACGATGCATGAACTGTTTTCTATTCCTTGCAGTGTGAATGAAATATAGGGTTAAAAGATCAGAACAATTAGATCAAATATTGACCGGTACACAGGCGTTGAAGGAATTGGAACGTGAAGTAGAACGTAAAATGAAGAAGTTCGGACCAGATTGCCGAACGAAACGTTGGAATTAATCATTTCAATTTCGCTGAGATTTTACAAATATAACTTTATAAATGTCTAGGGTTTTAAGCTTTGAAAATATTTTTACATTATGATGTTTCTAATCCTACGCCCACACTTCTCTCTTCCTTAGGTTTAGTATCGGCTGGTAAATTAGGTGAGTGTGTCGACTGAGAATAGAAATCGGATCACATACCTTGCTAGGTAACATCCCACCATTGAACCACTGATCCATGAACACTGTAGAGTTGTATAATAGATGATAAATAAAGTGGGTAAAATACCTGAACAGGCAAGATTTTCCATGACATAGTATCATTTACTAACACCGCACTTCAATAAAACTGTTTAGAAAAGTATAATATATTCAACTTGTTGGAAAATTATAATCTCTTTCGTTAGCTTCTTCAAGATAAGTATTTTTAGTTGATTTCACCTGTCATGCAGGGCCTCTCTTAAAAGTAGAAATATGAGTGTTAATTATACGTGAATCTTTGCAAAAAGTCAACAAATAATGGTGATGGACACCATGTTGTCTTCTTTTACCATTACAATATGAAACTCAAAACTACACTGAAAGCTTTTAGTAGAATTGTATGTCTGTATTTGTAACACATTATGGATCGGATAATCATTAAAATAAAATTGTTAATTCAAAGCAATATCAAATGGTTACTGCTACTTCATAAGCCTCAAATATACGTATTTTCGTTCCTTTGGTTCCGAGCGATAATATCACTTCTGTGGAGTGGAGTTGCTAGCCTCACTAGTAAGTAGCCTTCTCTCTTTCCTGGGTTTACTAACTGCTAGTAAACTAGGCGAGGTTCAGAATAACGTCGACTGAGAATGAGGACCGCATCTCCTGTGTGGCAGGCAAGCGTTCTACCTCGTGAACCAATTAGACGCACCTGAAATATTCCCCACTATGAAAATGTAAAAATTTGTCCGGTGACAGTTATCTAAACTATTGACTATTCCTTCTTCTTCCCTATCAGGAGTTAGTCGATAGTTTACCCCAGAGAAGTGCTAAAATTAGCAATTACCAAAATGAATGTGAAGCTTTGATGAAACAATTTCGCTCTGAAGACACTAGTCGAATACGTGCTGATATGGAAAAGTCGATTAAACGCTGGAATGAATTGGAAAAAATGTAAGTCAACATTTTTGCTTCTATGATCTACCTAATTGGTAAGAATATTAATATTACATGTGTGAAAGACAACAGCTAGTTATGAAAATGACTTGCCAGTTTAACCGACTAACGTTTTAAACAATGTGATATGAAAATAACTGTATTTCAACATTTTGTATCTAAAATCTTTGGAATGCAATAAATATTGATTATTCAATTAGTTATCCTAAGATAACTTATTATATATATTTCTGAGGAATAAGGCTCTCTGTAATCCTTCCCTTGCCTCAACTGTCCGCTCAATATTCAACTACTTTTAAACAAGTGTATTATGTGAGAATTTTACGCATTGAAAGAACTACAGTGATTCAAATCTTTAGGCTGAGTCAGTCCGAATACACCTAGTCCCAAACGTGATCTCACCTAGCAGGATTGCTTGTCGGTGAGAGTGGTTCTCAACTACTCAAACTTCAACCAGTAGTATATAGCACGTTATGTATTTCGTATCCTGTTCTACATTTTCTTTCCTATTTATGAATAGTTTCAATGAATGCTGATTGCCCATTGTGTCATCATCATCCATCTGCATTTCTTTTATCGGAAAAAATCTGATCTATTTCTTGTCTGAATACGTCAAAAATGTCAAACTTATAACTGTACAAATAGATGGCATGCAGTGTCTGTGAAAAGTCTGTGCACTATGAAAGAGATCCAATTAAAATATATTTATACCTCAACAGTTGTTCACATTCAATGATAAGGTTGTTTTTTTTTTAATTTTGTTATTATTTTAAGCTAAACTACTAAAATACGAAAAACTTATCGTGTGTAAACAACTACTGATATATATAGAAATAATTATTCGGATGCATCAAACGTTTCCTCTTTGTTTTCAAAAATGTCTGTCTGATCTCTTGCCGTTTTTGAAGGCATTCCAATATCTCAAACATATTTGACCCAATAATTGGTAGAGTGCATTGATATTCAACGCGAGCCACCAAATGAGTCTTATATCAGTCTCTCGAAAGGTCTGAATTCGCTCATAAGGTCTAAGTACTCAGGTCTTTTATATTGTTGACTGAGACTGGGATTTTATTCAAATAATAATAGGATTTCAAATTTCAAAAAAATGTAATGATTGGTATTATTTATTGTTGAGCTCCAACGACCATAATAATGTTAAACGTTGAACAGCAAATATTCAGTCAGTTGATATAAGAATAAAACTTGTGCACTGTGGTAGAGTGCAATTCCATTATGGGTAAATTTTGTTTTGACAAAGTCTCACGGCGTTATACGGTAATGTTTACTGATGACGCAATCACTGTGAGGTCAACTACATAGGTCAAACTAGTAAGTCAGGGCTAGTCAGGTTGTCAGAAAATAAGAGTTTAGCTAAGGTAAGAATGGTTGACCCTGAAAAGATAAGTAATTTAAAATAAAAGCTCAGCACTACATCGCAGTGCATGCATTAACACACAACCACACAATAGCATGGTGGGAGGGGGTTAAAATTCTAAAACGTAATCTAGGTAGGTGGAGAGAGAGGTTGATTACTGAATTCGTGTTCATAGAATCTACATTCAAGACATGCAATAAGAATGATTCATTACTCATACCCGAAATATGGAAAATATTACTATCAATCAAATCAAGTGAAAAATAATGGAACTATATAAATGAAGTTAGGAAGTCGTGTGAGTACCTTGATATGATTATGAGCAATAAATTGTGCCCGAAACGTCATCAGTGAACATTACTGTATAACACTGTGAGACTTTATCAAAACAAAATTTACCCATAATGGAATATTCAGTTAAATTGGTAATTTTCAGATTGAACCGTTCTGCATGAAATTTCACCATAGTTTGCTTTGGCAACCGAAATTATTCAGATGACTATATATGGTCTACTCGTTACCATAAATGGTAGTCAAGAAGGCAAGCGTAAATTCATGATTACACATATCACTGATTGATTTGAATAAATGCATACCAATCGCATTAGCCAAGCAGTGTTTGCTAGCCTCATCCAAGTTATCTAAACTGTGTAATTTGAAAATTGCGAACTCGATCCAACCTACTATCAGTTTGCCTAAGTAGATAATCAGAATTTGGATGGCTAGAACTGGTTCGAATATCTGAGCTGCTTCAGAAGCAGGTACGCTGCTGATAGTCTCAGTCACAGACGAACGAAAGGGCTGTCATTTGTTTTGAATGACCTTGGTTCGGCTAGAAGGCACTACTGGTTGACGTGAGCGTTATCCACCTACTCATTCATATCAAGCAAACAGTAGTATATACCATCACTCATCATTTTGTTAGACAAATGGTATTCCTTCAATTAAAGCTAAAATAACTCTGAATATGCGTCCACCACATATCTAGAAAATTCATTAGAAGGGAATGCACTTGATCACACTGTGATAATGGTTGCTAGCTAGTGCTGGAATTTATAACATGTGTTTTGTACTACCTGCAACTCATCGGCTGAATGCGACTGCATCCCCAGTAAGTGATGGTCGCCCACCGAGTTTCACACTCAGAATTTAACATTTCAGTAAAATCAGTGAGTGAAAGATTGAAATAATAATTTCAGCCCATGATAGATAGTAGACATTGGATGTACCTTAGAGTTTTGGAAGAACAGAAAATGCTTGTTACAATAGATTCATGTTCTATTGTTGAAGTGTTCTGTAAGCTGGTGTACTTTACCATCTCCAAGTTTTAGTAAAGACAGTGACTAGAATCCTACTGAAATGTTAGCACCAAAAGAACACTAATTTGAAATACATTTTAACCCAGACAAATGTTTGAGGTAATCCTTAAGAAGACATTTTTTTCAATTTCATGCATTTATATTCGCGTCGGCAAAGTTAAACTATAATAGACAAAATCACAGTGACCCTGAACAACCAATCAGAATTCAGGTGCGGAAAAGTCACATAATCATTGAAAAATACACCGAAGGATATTGCTAACATGATATTACACTGTATAGTTGTCGCTTATGCGTTGCAAGAATGTCTCCCAGTCACTATAAAGATGATCTACAGGGATATGATACCATGAGTGATAGATGCATTCATGCAGGTGACTGTAGGTCATGCTATTTTGAGATCTATTGGTATTTCTGACACTGTCCTTTAACCTACTCCCAACTCTAACCATAATCCTTACTCCTAGTCCTAACTTTACCCCTGATCCTGACGTTAACCCCAGACCCTGCACCTTAATCTTAAAAGGCATAACCCTGCTTAAAAGTCGAATGCTGCAGCTACCTTCTTCAAGTCCAAAAAGGCAGGCATGGTTTGATTTAGAATGATCTTCCATAGCATTTCCTGCATCTGATTGGTCCTTGAAGGTCAACTTTTGAAAGATTTTGGTTTTGCTTATGATGCTTTAGCTTCGCCTTCATGTGTCTTCATCATCTACAGGAATGCCAAATGAAAACTTTGTGAAGTTTTCCTGTATGCGTCAGAATACTGTCTGTGTGAATAAACTCTAATGTTGCATGCCCTCTCTCTCTCTCTCTCTCTCTCTATATATATATATATATATATATATATATATATATATATATATTTGAAGCATTTAACGTCTTCGATGCCGAATTCGCCTGTTTGCATCAAAACTATTAGAAGTAGAGTTTGTTACGCCTTCATTCGAAATAGCTAATGTTTGTTCAATGGCTTTTAAGTTAAAGAGATAACAAATATTTTTCTGTTTGACTTTCTTCTCTTTTGACATATATATGTCAAACGTATATTCTTTCCCTTGACGACGCTTTTGTTGGTACAAAATATATTTTTTGTTGTACGATTCCGCTAAGACGTGCTTCTTCTTTTTCTTCTTGTTATCGACATGAATGTATCTGTGTATATACTTCAAGAAAGATAACTAAGATAGACACTGATCTACACACAGTTGCCTTGCTTTCTCACTCTCTTCTGTCTTTCGCAGTGTTATTACTTATCTCGCTTATATATATATATATATATATATATATATATATATATATACAGTTTATGCGTGCAAGCCTACTACACTAATAAATATGTTAATGTGAAAGCTAATGGGTGAATGACTAGAATTCTATGAGATTAATTATTCACTGATGACAACTTTTTGATAAATAGCCTAATTTTATGGATTTTTTACAGTCAAATTATGCATATATATATATATATATATATATATATATATATATATAACAAGCACGTGCGTCGGTGGTATAGCGGTTAGGACGCTCGCCGACCATGCATATGGTTCGGGGTTCGATCCCCGGCCGGCGCACTCCTTTACCTCACTGAGCTAGAAATAATGCTGGTAAAGAGGAAAGATTGGGCATGAGGCTAGCAACCCCATCCTGTAAAATAAACACTGCTACAGAAACCTCAAGCCACTAGCTTGGAGCCCTATGTTCCACTGGGTACGTGAAGGAAAAATTATTTTATTATTTATAACAAGCACCTGTTGTTACTGAGGCTTTAAACTGACAGTGTCAATCTGCCTATCTAAGGTCTGAGTAGCGGTGTCTTTACATGATATCTGACTCACAAAATCTCGTAAATCGGTATCTTAATAAACGGGAATGAAAAAATATGTTGAACGTTAACTTATAACTGAGTAGTAAGCGTTTTCCCTTCACAAGGGAGTGTTGATTTTCTAACTGAATTATTGCAGTTTTCCCTCTAACCAAAGGCAGCTGGACGGAAAAGTGCTTTTAGCAAGCAAAAACACATACGATCACACTACTTACCTCACAAATTTTAATTTTTCTCTTCTTTGCTTGAACGTTTTCCTGATAACTCCACTTTCTCCTACTATTCTCCTTTCCTTCTCTAAGTTCATTATTCATATTTCTGTTTCTCTTTCGAGTGATATTCTCTACACTTTGATAAAATATAACAATATGCAACTGTGATGGTATTTGCATTACCTTTCTACAAACTATAATGCAATAACGCAATCATTAAGTTTATCGATATTGGGCAAATGTTTGTCGGTTGATGCAAT